TAAAGCACTTTTATAAAAATAATTTTAAAAGTAGAGCTTCAGAAAGTTTTAGATAGGTTGCTTAGATACCATGTGATTTAGGTTATGCCATATAAAACTTATTTCGGCTCTGTAGAGTTAAATACATAATATGAGTATATTGTGACACATTCAGTTACAAGTTTGCAAATCTTCCCAAAAACTGAAGAAAAAAATTTATGTTAGCAATCATTGGTATCAGCTAACGTGCTCTCCTTTAACATTTATGACTGTTTCTTTTTTATTTTTTATAAACTTTTTATTATTTATTTATTTTTAATTTTTACTTTAAAGATGAGTACAATTCAGGGTTAGGTATACAAGTGGTCATTGTGCAGGTAAAGTTTGGGCCTCACTTTGTCCCCACTCAACCTGGTTTGAGATGAGGTAGATTTATCGGTAAGGTGTGCCTCTCCTCCCCTGGAAATTTCCCACTACAACCATTTTTTTTCTTATAGTATTATGGTAATTGTTCAGGGTCCGCTTATGAGTGAGAACATGTGGCTGAATACATCAACAGATATAAACATAGGAATCATATGATTATATCATGAGATGCAGAAAAAACTTTCGATAAAATCCAGCATCCCTTTTTGATAAAAGCCCTTAAACATCTAGGCATAGAGGGAACATATCTCAAAATAGTACGTGCCATGTACGAGAAACCCATCGACAACATACTGCTACATGTACAAAAAAAGTTGGAAGCATTTCCCCTGAAATCGGAACAAGACATGGTTGCCCACTTTCAACTCTCCTGTTCAACATAGTGTTGGAGGTCCTAGCTAGAGCAATCAGACAAGAAAAGGAAATCAGGGGTATGCAAATAAGAAAAGAGGAAGTCAAGTTATCCCTCTTTGCTAATGACATGGTTCTATATCTCAACAATCGAAGAGAATCTGTCAAAAATCTTCTTGCACTGATAAAAGACTTTGGCAAAGTCTCAGGCTACAAAATCAATGTGCAAAAGACAGTCGCATTCTTATACACCAACAAACAGGCAGAGAATCAAATAAAAAGCACAATCCCATTCACAATAGCAACAAAAAAGATGAAATACCTCAACATTTCCTAACCAGAGAAATGAAAGAACTTTGCAACAAAAAGTACAAAACACCGCTCAAAGAAATCAAAGATGACACAAATAGGAAAATATTCCACTTTCGTGGATTAGAAGAATCAACATTGTTAAGGTGTCCATCCTGCTCAAGGCAATCTATAGATTTAACAGAATACCCATTCATTTACCAGCATCATTCTTCTCAGACCCAGAAACGACAATACAGAAATTCATATGAAAATATGGCTGTTTCTATCATTTCTTGCTGAGAACGAACCATCCCCAAACAGCCCTGCAGCTCATGATTCTGTACAGGCTGAGCTCAGCTAGGTAGTCCTTCTGGTCTTAGCTGGGATTTCCCATGTGTCTGAGTTTCCTGGCCTTTGCTGCTGGATTCTCTCACATCTCTGCTTCAACTGGGGAAACTGTGGTCATGAGGCTATATTCCATGTAGTCTCTTATCCTCCTCAGGACTAGCTCTGACTTGTTCACATGATAGATAGAGGCAGAGTCCCAGAGAAAAAAATGGGAGTGCTAGATCTTTTGAGTGTAAGGCTCGGTGTTGGCATAATGTAATTTCTGCAGCAGTCTACTAGCCAACCCAATACCAGGGCACATTTGATAGACTCTGTCTTATGATGGGAAGAGCTGCATAGTCTCATCAGAAATAGAGTGAATATAAGGAAGAAAAGACTGTGGTCAAATTTCTATCTACCTCAATGCCTCTGAAATATTTAAATATGACTCCTGTTTTAAAGATTGATGCTAAGTACAGATTTAGACCTATTTAGTGTTGTCTCTAATTTCTAGAACCTCTAGACTTTCTCCATGGATATGCATCATAGTCAATACTTGCACAGCAGAAACTGTTTCGTGCTGACCATCTTTCTTCATCCTAGAGTGTTGTACTTTGTGTAAAGTAGCTGTGCAATAAATAAAAAAAATCTTATTACTTTATCAAGATTATGTCATCACATCAGACATCAACATTGATGTTTTTTCCTGTAAAATATTAAAGAATTGCAGTATAAATAGCATCATAAAAATGTGCAATTTGAAGTAAAATAGTCTAAAAAATTTCATTATTCTAAATATTAATTCTAAAATAAACTATGGCTATTTATAAATCTATTAGCTTACAAAATTATTATAAGCAATGCATACATACATGATCCAAATTAAAATTAATCACTCAGACTCAACATTACTCAGAAAATGTTTACACAATGGTAGAAAAACCATATTTTCAGATACCAAGTATATCTACACAATGCCCAGTAAATCAGTGAGATGCTTTCCTGGGTTTCTTTGTTTATTTTTACATTTGAAAGGCTCAGCAGAGCTCTCTCGTAGATTTAATGTAAGGTACTACTTTGGAGGTTTTGGAGTTATTTTCTACTATCCTAGTTTATAGCAGATGGCAAACTTTATTAGAAAGTCTTATTTGTTTTCTGTAATCTAATATTTGTCATCACTCACTATGTGGTTTATATTAGGAGTTATTTCCCCCCTTCAAGTTTGGCTTTCTTCCTGCTGACTCTTTATAAACTTGTTTTGTCATCTCTAAAATGGTCCCTTTGCACCTGAGTAACTTGTGTGAAGAAATAAAGTATCAATTACATTGTGGAATAGGAACAGTACAGATTGCAGCCAGTATGATACTGTGAGGCACAAATCTTCAACCACACTATTTGTGTTCTAGCTCTCTCTATCTCTGCCTATCTACCCTCTATCTATCTATATTCTATCTAAATATGCTGATTTGAACTATATGAAAGTTTCTATTTTTGTAAGTTACAAACAAATGAAGACTGTCAATTTCATAAGCTCTAACTTAAAACATATATATCTTGATATGTAAACAAATTTACACACATAGAAACATGTAACTTAATGGTGGGGTGTATGTAACAAGAGAGGAAGGCCAACAAATTTATTTTTTCAAAAGGTATTCAAATACCCAAACAGTAGAAATTTAGGTCATTGCCTTTTTGAGGTACACTGTGACAAATGTACACAAAGAACATTTTCTAAGCAAATTATTTTGTTCTTCATTTGTAGATAACGTTTCATAAGTAGCCTAGCTAAATGGTATTTAAACATTATGATTTTTAGCTCTCTTTGTTCAAATGGAAATTGTGCTGCATTCTAACTTATGAAATGGGTAAAAGTGGACATATTTTGATAGAAGCTAGGACGAGTCACCAGGGTGACTCGACACTCTTCTGCAGTTTGAATGGAAGTATCACAGGAAAAGCCACATTATCAGGCAGATTCAGCAGAACCTCAGAATAGAATATGTTGCTTTGAATTATTGTGGTCTGTTACCATCATTACATACCATTCTCTTATTTTTAATGCCACAACCAAAATATGCATGCAGGTCTAACTTCTTTTTTCTTTAATATTCTAAAGATCAAATCTAGTCAAAGTAGGACTTGAAAAATGGCTACTTTTAAGCATAAATAAAATGCCAGCTATCATTGGTAGCATTTAGTAAATTCTAGAGAAACTGATGATACAGATTTTATTCAAACATAAGTCATTTTCTAACTATTTGAATATATTGTGCTCGTTTTTCAATTGGTGCTATCAACACTCTAAGAAAAAATGTCTCATATTCTCTTATGATCTCCCGTCTCTCAGGTCACTTGGAATAATGCTTTACAAAAAGCAGAGACTCTAAACAACCTTTGTGTCAATCAGACAGATACAGGGAGCCAGATGAAGTAAACATAGGGAGATAAAGATATTTGCAAATATAACCTAAGAATTATTGGCACAGAATAGTGACCCCAAATAGGTACAGAATAGTGACCCCAAATAGGAATAAAGAAAAATTGGCACAAACCATTATCCCTGCTTCTATTGACTACTTTGGTTTCATTTATAATAGTGACATTTAAACTCTGCCATATTTATTCACTAACACATTGATGAATGACTAATAAAGAGATCTGCAAAATTAATACAAGACAAATGAAATCAAGTATCACAGAGAAAATTATATTTGAGTGTGTGATTATTAGCCATGGAGTGAAAATGGAAACATAAGTCATTCCTTGTGTTAAACTGCACTTAAAATCCAATTTTTAAAAATAAGACATTTCCACTTTAATCAATAGGAAAAATGAAAAAAAAATTTTTTCTCTGGAAAAGCATCAAAAGGGAACTATGGATCAGTTGCATTTGCAATGACAAAAAGAAGCAGCACACTTTAGTATTTGCTTTTGAATGGCCACACGCAGATGCTTTGAAGAGACCAAAAAAACATTTTGTTTGAGGGACGGTGGGATTGGTGAAGCCACAAGGTTTTTAAAAACTGAACTGTAACTCATCTTTCTGTTTATCTATGAACTATAAGTTCAATGATGTATTCTCAGTCTCCAGTTGGTAGAAAAATTTGCCATATGCTTTTATGATGCATATGACACTTTCCAATAGTTATCTCGTTTTATCTTCAAAGAACTTTGTTGAGAAGGCAACATGAATCAAATTTTACAGATGAGGAAAACAATGTTTAATAAGTTTAATTAAACTGGTCAAGTTATTATAACTAGTAAGTTGTGGAAATAGAATTCAAATTTTGTTCTTTGACAATTAAGTCAATGCTTTCATTAAACCATGCTGACTTTCAAAAATGAGGGACTTAATCCCTGAGGTGACTATAAATAAATAACTTTACATTTAAGATGAAATGTTTTTCGAAGTTCTGTTTGATGGATATGGGTAAAAACAATATGATGAATATGAATAAATATGATGTCTACTCACAATTTTTCACTTTTGAGTTCTTAAAATATGTATTAACCTGTATGTTCTTTTACATTCTTTAGCACAAAACCTATCATGTAGACTAATATTGAAAGGTTTTAAAAGTTCTGGCACCAAACTGACTTATTGATAGTTTAGTTTGCATTACCTTAGACAATTTTGTCTTGAATTCAGATTTATCTTTGGTAACAAAGTCATTAATGAGACGAGATCGGTCATAAGTAGCATGTTCTGATTCATCCGTGTAATCCTTATCTTTTCCTAGGTCTATAAAAAAGAAAGAGAAAGTTATATCCATTTTTATTCTTTTTCTTCTCCCTTTTCTCATTAAATGCACTAGCTCCTCCCTTTTCACATTTTCCCAAGATTTAGCCCATATGTATACGAAAAAATATATAATTGTTGGCATAATTTTCACATAATTCATTTATTCAATAAATAAGCACATAAATGTAATCCCATGAAAACCTGCCTGTTGTGGTATTAACACTGACACTGAAAGAGATTTTTATAAGAATTAAATGAATCTGTGCTATGCAACATACTTCAGCTTTTTGAAAAGAAAATTAGAAGCATTCAAACTATATTGAACCCGTCACATTTGCTTAATTAAAAACTACATGTATTTTAAACGTTTTTTGTTTCACTAAAAACTATACATAGTTTAAAAATTTGTTTTCTTAAAAGTGAGAAAAATTTGTTTTCTTAAAAATATGATTTGGCTAAAGGGCATAAGAAGTCAGAGAAACCACAGAAAATATACTAATAAACATTACAAAAAATATTTTGAAAATGAGAGGATTGAGACAACTGTCAAAATAAACCCATGAGAGTCATTAAAAAATGATGGCTATGATTGTACTAATAAAAAAGAATGAGACATTATGATATCAATTACACATAAAGGTGTATATGAATAATGAATATGTTATGCTTAATGTAAAAATAGTATGGTAGGAAATCTCTATGGTGGCTGTAGTAAGAACAAGAACTGTTGACACACTTCACAAAATTTGTATTTCATGTGATATAAATATCTCTTCAAATTCAGAAATGGACATATTGCTATATATTTGCTCAAAGTTAAAAAACTACATGTTGCCATATAGATCTTTGAAATATATTCCCATACATTTCAAATTCAAAAACATACATATCTCAAATTCCAAAACAGACATATGCTTTATGAGTAGCCTTTCCAAAAAACTCAAAACTTCTGGAAAAGAGCTATTTTATTAGATAAGTTGAAACTTATTAAACATGAATCTTGACATGGACAACTCTACAATGCTTTCAGCAATTCAATCGAGTTAAAGTACAGAGGAAAAGCAATTTTGTCTGTAAAAATATGCATCTATTTTATTTACTAGTAATGCTTAATAACTGTTAGCCATGTCAGCTAATAGTATCAGATTCTTAGCAATGGTAAAAACTAAGATTGTACAGGTCATATTATGTCTTAGAATCTAATCAGTAACTACTTATGTTAACAATATTCTAAACATTTAGTGGTTATGCCTAGAGTTATTAATTTTATCTAACACTGATTTATGGTTAACATTTGCTGAGTACATACTATAAGCCAAAAACCTTCCATGTATATTTTCATATGATAATAACTCTACAAAGCAGGCATAATTTTTACCTACATTTAGTAAGAGACGAATGAAGGCGCATGGGAATTAAGGAGCATGCCAAAATTACTAAACTAGTAAGAAGTCCATCAAACACTAAAATACATCCTAATCTGACTCCTGGGTTGATGTTTGTGAATTGAATACAATGTTTCTTCTAGATTTAGGTACATTATTTTATTCATTTAACTTGCTTTTAAACACATATGTAAATGCAAGACACTCTTTAAAGAGTTGAAGATATAATAGCAAACACAACTCTGCCTTCACAGAATATTCAAGTAAGAAAAGAAAAGCAAGTTTAAAAAATAGGTCAAATATTCGCTATGTCTTGTGATCAATAAATTGGAGAAAAGTACCCTAGGGAGTAAGGATGCAAGAGCTAACGGTAGGGAGGGGATGCCATTTTAGCAAAGAGAATTGTATGAAGATTGGTCAGCACAGAGAAACTAAAAAGTGCAAAATCTGGACTTGAAATTTTGGAGTTAATTTTTTTGGAGCAGCTACCAAAACCCTACCGTTTGCAAGTCACAGGGTATTTAATGTTTTTATTTTCTTTCTCCTCTCTTCCCTTTCCTCCCTTTCCTTTCTTTTATCTCTCTCTCTCTCTCTCTCTCTCTCTCTCTCTCTCTCTCTCTCTCTCTCTCTCTCTCCACATTTTTTCTTTGGTTACTAAGCAACAAGCAAAAACAAAACAAAATCCTGTTTGGTTAAACAGCAATAGGTTAGTGTCCTATGTTATTGTGGAGGATGCAGTGACCTGTTTGGTTAAACAGCAATAGGTTACTGTCCTATGTTATTGTGGAGGATGCAGTGATTCTTATGCTGAATCTGTCACTTCCTAGCCATGTAATTGCCTTTTCCTGAGTCTCGAAGGATTCACTAAACTCTAACAATTGTTTAATTACTAATTTGATGCTTATGAAATACAAAATGTCAATTTACTAATGAATGCATTTGATTTACCATGGAACACAAAAAATTAAGCTTGTAGAATTTTTTCTTTCATTTCAACCTCCTATTCATACACTCAAATTTAATTTTTAGAATTTTTTATTTGTTTTGTTTGATTTATTTTTATTTTTTCTCTTTCATTCCTACAACACATCTTCCTGGAACAGAAACACACTCACAGCATTATCTTACTGGAGGAAAACTTACTCAATTTTGAAATATTTTCTAAACATCACCATATTTACAAAGACTTTTCAGATATTTATCCCCTACTGCAGCTCCTATTAGAGCTGATCATTTTTCTCTTCTAAAATCCATCACATTTGTGTTTTTTTCTTTCCTTTCTTTCCTTCCTTACTATTAATTTTTTGGGTGGGGGAGCTGCTTATTTAATTTTTCTGAAATTAGACAAAATTATTCTAGGGTCTAGGATTTATCTCTCTATCATATGTTCTTAATTTGCTGCAAAGTCTGGCACAGCTTAGTCTGTAGCAGACAAAGTCTCAAAAAAAGAAAATGAAGAAAGAAAAGAAAAAAAGTGCTTGTTATTTTGGAAAAGGTTGATCTTAAGTGACACAGTTTTAAATTTCCTTTTATTGTAGGGGATGTAGGTATTTTTACCTCTCATTGTTATCTATCTGTCTGACATTACACAAATGACTCTTCTGTATCTGTCTGATAGCAGCTTTCTTTTTGCTATTATCAAGATTGCAAACTTTTGTTGGTGCAATGTAAGTGGTCCTGCTGTCTTTTACAACATTTATAAAATGTCTCAACTTAGAAACTAGAAATCACTACTCTCAGTGACTTGGCACACACTGTTCCCAAATATAAAAAAGACCTTATATACTTTTTGTTTTTGTTTTTGTTTTTGTTTTTGTTTTGTTTTGTTTTTTGGTAAAACACTTGCTTTATTTTTCTCACATTAACTTCATTCACAATATTCGTTATGATTAGAGTTTCATGTATCTGATGGTTACTATGTGTCAGGTGCTCTTCATTTATTAAATAAACACATGGAGTTCTGCAGTAGACCTGATACTAATCTAGCTGGGATATAGGAGAAAATTCAATGGACAAAAATCCCTATTCTCATAAACTTGACAGTGATGGAATTAAGAAAAAGACTAAATATACTATACATATTAGAAGCCAGGCGGTCAATGAAGAAAAATAACAGAGGGCCGGGAGAAAAGGAGTGTGGCAGAGGACAGGAAAATAATTTGCAAGTTTAAACAAGGTGATCCAAAGTGGCCTTCCAGAGGTAACACTGGAGTATAGAAGCCAAGGAGGTAAATGAGCCTCTGTGGAAGAGCATTATGGGTAAAGGGGGCAGCAAGTGCAAAGGCCCTGAGGTGGGAGCCTGTTTACAGACAAGGAGAATAATGTGATTGGAGAGGGGTGAGAAACATGAACAATTTTATGTCCAAATGGTCAAGAAAGGAGTGGAGCATATCAGGGAGGGCTCAGGGACACCGGAACATTTTTGTTTTGTATTCAGAGCTAAACAGGAAGCCACTGGATAGGTGTGAGTGGAAGAGTGACATCATCTCTCAGATTTTAATAAAATCATTCTGGTTGCTGAGAAGAGAATAGGGTGAAGAGGCCAAAGGCAGAGAAAAGGAGTCCAGTAGGGAGGTGTTGCAAAAAGCTTGGAGAGAGGATGTGATTTGAATCAGAGTGGTACAGAGGTTAAGAAATGGTCAGACTAAGAATGCATTTTTAAAAACATAATAGAGCTCTACAGGGTATGGTGTATGAAGGAAGAATGTCAACAGTGATCTCAACACTTTTGTCCTGAGCAAAAGGAAGGGTGTGACTTTTCTTGTATTATTTTATCAATTCTTAAAAAGTAATGAACTGACTCCACTTACCAGTGGGGGGAATCTGGGCAACTGCCTGAGATTTTGCATCTGGTGTGTGGCAGAATTAGAACCCATTCACAGTCACTATGTAATACTGCCTCATGTAGAAATCGTATTGTTTAGTAGCTTTCTTGGAAAGATGATGATTTTGAAAACTTTGAAGGAACAGGGTGTTCACAAATTTTAGACAAGTACATGTTTATATAAAATGTTAAGATATTTGTCTAATTAAAAGAATGAAAACTCTGGATTGAAAATATAGCCATGTATCCTCCTGAAACTGACAATAATGGAGATAAACATTAACATCCCAATAGATAAAGATGGAGTATAAGCAGCTGAGTAATTAAAAGGTGAGAAAATCTAGCAAGAACATTTATTTTTATGTGCTTTAATATCCCCTGTGCCAGTAATTTAAAATAAAAATAAAAATACATCTATTTTATGCCAGTACCCAATTTATTTGTATCTTTTATTTTTAATAAATATCAATTGCTGGCAAGATGCAAGGCAACTGCTATGGTCAATTGTTATCAGTACAAATATAAATTAATAAAACTTTAGGAACAAAACCTGTCAATATGTTTTGACAGCACAACTAGAGATATTTTCTAAAATCATAATCCAAAAGAAAGAAAATCTATGTTCTTGGAAATGTTCCTCCAAGCCTATGGATAATAAAACACAGAGACTATTGCTATGCTAATGAACAATGACTCCATTCTTCTTGTTACACAGGTCAAAAACCTGGAAGTAATCTTTATTCCTCATTTCTTCTTGTACCCTGTGCCTGATCCTTAAGTGAATTCTGTTG